AGAGGGGTGCAGGAGCTGGCTGTGCTCAGCGCAAGGCAGTGATGCAGGTGCTGTCCCACCATAGTAGCATCTCCCCAGCCTCATCCAGCCCTGCTGCCTCACCACAGGCTCATCCAATGAGTGATGATATTTCTCTTTCCAGCTCCAGATGCCAGCTCCCTGCGACTGTGCCGGGCAGAGGTGTTTGTGGCGCTGGGGCAGCACCCACAAGCGTTGGAGGACCTGGACGCTGCGTGCAGGGCTGAGCCTGGAGACCATGAGGTGAGCGGAGTGGAGGTCCTATGCAGCATTTGGACCTAAATCCTACTGTACAGGAGCAGTTTTCACCCTTTCCTGAATTCTCCTAGCCATTGCATCCTGCTCAGAAATGCACTTGCCAGACCCCAAAGTGGCAAAGCCAGGCTGCAAGCACTGTGTTGCACTAACGGGAAAGGTCTGGTGCACAGGGTTGCAGCTGAGGACTCAGGGAAGTGTTGGCCAGAGGCTGAGCTGCCTTTGGAGAAATCAGCCCTGAGAGCTCACTTGCTGATCTGGGAAGCACTCCTTGGCAATAGTTTTGTGGCTTCGGAGACAGAAGCCCTTGACTCCTTCTCTATGTCTCTGCAGGGTTTATTTGCATGGCTTTTGCAACTGTTTTGGGAGAGTCCTGTTTTCTGGGTACCTGGTTGTGGATGGACCTGTCTTTTTTAGACAAGTCTGCATGTGGGAGCAGCAATGTGTGTGGATGCTTTGGATTGTGCTGGGAGCAGACAGGAGGCTGGAGGGATTTTTCTCTTGGGGCTTGCATGGGGGCTGAAGGGGGCTGGTCACTGTCTCGTAATCACCACAGGTTTTTCTGCTCTGCAGGCCTTCTTCAGGAAAGGGAAGGTGCTTCTGGAGATGGGACAGAGAGCTGAAGCCCTGCTGGCGTGGGAGCACTGCCTGACGCTCAGTCCTCATTTCCACCCCGCTCGGAGAGAGATGGACAAGGTGAGTGGGCTGTGCCATGGTGAGTCCCGTGCCCTTGCATCGCACAGGGAGAAGCCCTGGTCCTTTGGAGGGTTCGCTTCCATCGTGGTCGCACTGCTCTGGCCAGCTCTGGGATCAAGGGGACTGGGGTCCTGGTCCAAGAGACTTCCCATCACTCCAGTGCAGGTCTACCCATGAAGAACTCCCCTTTCTCAGTCCATATCTTCGAGTCTCAAGTTTTGCAGGGCCCAGATGCTGGCGTGGTATGAATATCAGTAGTCACCCAAGGCAAAGCAGCCGTCTGAAAGCTGCCCCTGGAGAGCCAATGTCTTTTCTGCAGATGATTTCAGGCCAGCACCCACCCATATGCCAAAATCACTGTCACCAGTGGGGCCTGTGGCAGTGTCCCCAGCATGGGGACTTCATGCCATGAGTAGACACCTTCCCTCCAGGAGGGAAAGGGCAGGAAAATGGGGAATGACTTTGTACCCTGCACAGCTCTTTGTGAGTGATGGAGAACATGACTTCCAGCCATTAAAATACAACATTTTGTTCGATGCCTTGTGCTGCTTCCTGCCTTATGCAATGCTAAGGCATTTGTTTGACAGAGAGCTCAGCCAGCACTGAAACAAGTAACCCTGACGTGCCCTGTGGCAAGCAGGAGGCTGCTTTGGGGAAAGAGGGAGCCTGGCAGCTGACCCACCCCCCTGCTTCCTTCTCCCAGCACTCCCTGAGCCCCGCTTTCTCCTTGCAGATCCTCATGCGAGAGAACACTCGGCTGCACACGGCTGCTGCACGTCTGGGTGATGCTCACAGGGCCTCCACAGGTTCCCAGATCGATGGAGGGAGCTCTGCTCGATCCTCCTCCCCACAAGCTCAGGTATGAGAGCCTGCAACCATCTGAGACTGCAATGGGACTTCATGTCCCTCTGGGACATCCCAAATTGGGGTTTTCCAGTGATGGGAATGGAGGTGTGGTAAGGGGAGGCTATGCAGGATCACGTGCACGTGGTTGTGTGCTGGGATGAGAAGCTGCAGGTAGCAGAGGGTGGGAGAGCAAAGACACCATGGGAGCTGATGCTGTGGGGCCTGGGAAGGGAGAGGAGGCTCCTTCTGTCTTCCATTCCTCTCCTAGTTTTATTCTGCAATACTTCTGATAATATTTTAGATTCTAATTGTGCTTAAAATACCCAATTCACACTATGATCAGGAAAAAAGTCAGTTTAGTTTGTATTTTTTATCCAAATCCCACATTTGAGAACAGTTCAGACCATTAGCAGCTATTAAGGAAAGCTCATCTTCTGCTTTTTGCCTTCTACAGAGGAATTTGGCAGGTGTGGAGAGAGGGGAAAATCAGAGAAAATGGGCTCAGATACACCCAAATACCAGGAGGTACATCTGGACAGACTAAACCCACGTTTTAACCATGAGATGAGCAGGGATGTCTGAAGGCCACGCTCTCCTGCTGTCCCTCAGATGTGAGATGTTAATATACAGCAACACACCAGAAAAACTCCCGGTGCCATCGGGCTCAGTGGGGTGGATAGGGCAGCATATTCAAAGGGAGAAGGGCTTTTGGGCTCAGTTTCATCTTTGCTGTGTGTAGGATCAGGAGGCAGAGCTGACGGAAGGCGGAGGAGACGCTGGGTCTGAGCACGGCCAGGGGACAGCCACCCTTCCCCAGCCGGGGCCACGGCAGGAAGCGGGGACTTCATCGGAGAGGCAGGACCAGCAGTTGTTAGGTGAGTGTTGTCGGAGGTACCAACACCTGACCTCATGCAAAATACTTGTTTAAAATCTGTTTGGCACTGAAAACTTAGTGCTGGTGTTGTGAGCCAGCTCAGCGAGCAGATGTTCCAGGGGCACCCAATGAGGCATTTCTGGCCAGGCTTTTTTTGCTTCCCGTGGTTTTTAAATACACTTGTGATTCACACAGAGAGTCCTGTGTTGGGGTAAGCGGCATTAACTTGCCATCAGTGTCCAGCCAGGTGGCTTCCCTGTATGTGGGTTTGGATAAAGCAGTGGTGATGCCTTGGGGCCGGCCTCCAGAGAAGCTGCTCCATCTGGGAGCTTCTGAGATCACTGCATCTCCCAGTGCCTCAGTTTCCCTGCCTGCCAAAGGAGGTAAGGAGATACCACCTTCCTCTACCAAGTACCATGAGACCCACTGATGAAAAAGCTACAGATGGACACGGGTAGGTTATTCGGGGGGTTTATGTTGCATTTTCTAGCAGTTTTGGTTTTAACTTTCAAAACACTTTGTGTAGAAGTTAACTACTTACACCTCAGAACAAGGTCAGAAAGCAAAGATTAATTTTCAGTATTGAAACAGGGGGTCGTCTTCTCTTTCTGTGTCTTTGCTACTAGATAATGAAGAGGAAACAGCAGCAGCAAGGTATCCCCAGCCATGCCTGGAGGAGCTGCTGAGCTTATCTGATTTGGAGTGCTCCCTCTGCATACGGTGAGTTCTCTGCTGGGAGAGCTTTTTGGATGAAGAATTAACCCCTGCTGGGTTTTCTTTCCTGGTGTGGCTATTTCTTCACATCTTAATAGCAAACTCAGTCCCCAGTACTGCTGAAACGCAGGTTTCAGGAGAGATAAGAGGGGAGGACAGGGGCATGCTGTGCACTGCCAGGCTGTAAGAGCTCAGATCGCCCTGTTGCAGGGTGCAGCATCGTTAGGTCTTGGGTCATAGGAGCGGAGATGGGGATGTTCAGTGGGGTCAAAGACTGAAAGCGGTGGCTGCTCTTTTTAACTGCAGGCTGGAACAGGAGCGTGTTGCCCCAGGGAAATCAGGGATGCTGCCAACCCAGAGGGGAGCATTTTTGGGCCCTGTGCCTGGAGATGGAAAAGGAGACCAGATAGACCCCGTGTCTGCCTGCTGTCTGGGGCCAGGGCAGGGCTGGGTGCTGCCACAGGCCGTGCTGAAACCAGGCTGTTGTTTCTGGTGTGTCCCAGCTGTTGTGCAAGCAGCTGCTGGCAGAGGGCTGGGCATTGCACTGCCAGATGTGCGAGATGGTCAAGGTCTCCTGTATGGCAGCTTTTTCCAGGTCTGGGCATGGCACAGGGGAACAGCATGGGAGAGAGAGATGGAGGCTGTGTCTGATCTCAGGTGAATTTAGGACTGAGAGCAAGGAAACATAATGTTCAGGAGGAGTCAGGGCTTAGTACTGAGCAAGGCTTTCCCGAGACCTTCATATCATTTCTGATACCTGTGAGCAGCCCGAGTGCGGGCTGCCAGCTCTGCTCTTGGGGAGAAGGAAGCACTTTCCCATCTCTGCCTTTTGGGCTAAATACCACTGCTGGTGTCTGGGAGTCACAGACCTGCCAGGACCAAGCAGTGCCATGTGTATACTGATGGAGTCCATGGCCGTGCTGCAGGGATGGGGAACAGTGGGACAGTTCTCATCTTACATCATTGTGCAAGACCGACAGCCCGAGCCCAGACATCTAATTAAAGGGATAAGACAGTTAGGAACCTTTAGTTTTAATTAACAGGAGTTAGGAGCAAAGCTTAGGCAATGCAGCTTTAGTTAAGGTGAGTTGCATAGCCATGGGCTGCCAGGGCTTGGAAGACACAGCATGAGATAGCTTTCTGTGGTGTTGCATCCCTGCAGCATCACTGTCTTCAGTGCAGAAGGCTGGTAAAGGCAGCAGATGTCCCTTGAAATGGCAGGGGACATGGGAAATGTCTTGTTCCTGCTGGAAGCAAATTCTCTTGCTCTTAGCAAGGTGATTCAAAGAGGATGCAGGTACAAGGCTGGGGATGGTCAGAAGCTGCCCCACGTTTGCCCACTGTGTCCTACTCGACCTTTGCAGCACCAGCCTGGGCCCCTGCAAGTCCCTGAGTGCTTTGGGGACCACCCCCCAATATGGTGCTAAGGCTATCCGGGATTTCCAAACCAGGATGCTGAGCCAGAACTGGGGAACGACAGCTTTGAGGGCACCCAGCCCTGCAAACAGAGGCTCTGTTAGGTCTCTCTCTGTAGAGCTTACCTACGCTTCTTCCCCTGCACTGCTCTCTGCGGTCCATTGACTTTGGTCCCTTTGCAGGCTGTTCTTCGAGCCGGTGACGACGCCGTGTGGGCACACCTTCTGCAAGGAGTGCCTCGAACGCTGCCTGGATCACCGGCCCAACTGCCCCCTCTGCAAACAGAGCCTCAGAGAGGTGAGGGCGTGCATATCCCGCAGGATGGAGCCCGAAGGAGAGCCAGGCAGCGTGCCCAAGGCTGGGGTGGGAAGGTGCGATGCTGTCATTTTAGCAGCTCCCTGGCACAGCGGCACTGGCTCTGCTCATGTGGGAATGACCAGACAGTTGATAATTAAGACCAAGAGATTAATTTCCACAAGATGCCACAATGATTTAGTGAGATTGTAAACAGAGCTGAGAGGTAGAGAGAGAGAGAGAGAAAGAAAGAAGCAAATGCTAATTACTTTTAAAAATGGAAATGAATGGAAAACCTGCTGGTCTGGAGATTTGATTTAATTTTTAATGAAAGGGGATTTGGATGAGACCATCAGGGAAATTAGGTTGTCATACAAGGAGTGCATCACTGTCAGGGACAGGGTGCTGTGTTGGATGGGCCCTGGGTCTGAGCCATGTCTGGAGGTCTCATTGGAGCTGCTATCCCATCCTGCTAGATGGTTAGACATCCCCCCATAGGTTTTATCCCTGACTTTCTATGATCTAAAGTTACCCTCAGCTCCAATAAAAATGACGGTGATTCAGAGCCTGGCAGGGCCTCAGGGCTCCCCCGCTGCTCTTCTCTGACCTATATCTGTGCCTAATTTCTTCTAGTACCTGAAGGCTGGAAACTACAACCCCACGGTGGTGCTGCAGGACATCATGCTGGCCACCTTCCCCACACAGCTCTCTGAGCGCCGGGACCTGCACCGGGCCGAGATGGCAGAGCTCTCCAAGTAAGCAGGGACCTGTTCCACTGTGTGTGTGTGTGTGTGTGTGTGTATGTGTCTGCATGGCAACCAGGAGGGGCTCTGAGGGAGCTGTCTGCACCACATACCATTGCTCTGGCTTGGTTCTGGTCAAGTGATGTCTGCCCCACCTCCAGGACCACGTCACAGCAGCACCAAGTAGGTGCAGATGTGCCCCATGGGGCACCTGGGGTGAGGGAGCATCTCTGCAAGGAGCTGTTTTGTGGGCAGAGCCTGTTCTTGGGCTCTTGGTGAGCCAAGTGGAAGCTGTGGTGTTGCACTGCCATGGAGCATCACTTCTTGGGGTAAAGGACACATGTGGTTTGGGGGAGCAGCTGATGCAGAGCCTTCGGGATGGGAATCACTCCAGCAGGTTTCATAGTGCTCTCTCCTCCTGTCCCTCAGCCTGACCAAGAACATTCCCATCTTTGTGTGTACGATGTCCTTCCCAGGCGTCTCCTGCCCTCTGCACGTCTTCGAGCCTCGCTACCGCCTCATGATCCGGCGATGCCAGGAGACTGGCACCAGGAGGTTCGGCATGTGTATATATGAGAAAGGGAAAAGGTGAGCTCCTTTGGGAGGATGTCTCTGCAAGGAATGGTGTCTTCAGGACCACTGGACATCAGGGCAGTATGAGCACCTAAGTCATTTTGGTATATGGCAAATCCAAGGGACTGTGGGCAGTGTGCTTGCTATTCCCTGCCCTCTTAGCAGCAGTGGTAACTCAGCAGAGTTGAGTGAATCTCCGAATTTGCCCCCTCTCAGCCAGCTCGTTCCTGGGCCTTCTCCTCATTGGAGGTGGTGCCTTCAGGAGCAGCAGCTCTCCATCACTCGTATCCCAGCTCAGACCCTCTTTTTCTCCCTGGCTCCCTCCAGTTTTGCTGACTATGGCTGCATGCTGGAGATCCGGCACATCGAGCTGCTGGCGGACGGGAGGTCCTTGGTGGACACCATCGGCAGACGGCGGTTCCGGGTGCTGAGCCGAGGACACAGGGACGGCTACAACACTGCTGACATCGAGTACCTGGAGGACAAGAAGGTGAGGGCAGGGCCAGGTCAAAAGGCTGCTGTGGTGGGACAGAGCTCCCTGTGGACAGCTTCTGTGAGCCCCTTCTCTCCATGCAGGTGGCTGGGGAGGAGCTGCAGGAGCTGCAGTGCCTGCATGAAAGCACCTACCGCTTGGCTCAGCGGTTTTGTGAGCACGGGGACCTTGCCTCCAGACACATTCTGATGCAGCATGGACCGCTGCCGGAGAAGGAAGAGGACATCCAGGTAATGCCCCGAGGGAAGGGATGCTCTAAATAGAGAGGGTACCCGGATAGCCTCTGGTTCCTGCACTAACCACCCTGCTTCCCTGCTCGGCTAGCCCCAGGATGAGCGAAACAAACCCTGTTTTTCACTCCCTTTACCAGTTACGGCATCTCTCACTCCGGGAGTTGGTAGGGCTTGTTTGTTAAAAGTGTTTAATGTTTGTTTATGGTTTTAAACTGTTATTGGAAACCGAATACTGAGTTACAAAAGCTTTCCCAGAGTCTTTTCCTAAATGAGAACCGAGAAACTGAACTGTCTGGATTTGGAAACACTTGGGGAGGGGGGAAACCCTAACAAATTTGACAAGAAATGAACCCTACAGCACAGCAAGTCTGTGGTCTCCTTTCTTACTGTGTTCCTTTGAGGCAGCCACAGCTGGCCAGAGGAGAGGAGCTAAGAGGGCAGGATCCAGATTGCTTATTAAATTGCTCTGACAAATTCAGATTCTGGAGTAAAAAGAAAAAAATACCAAAAATTAATTTTCACTCCTTTAAGAAAATGTTTCCTGCTTGGATCACTACAAATATGCTCCTGCTGGCCTGTCCCATGCTAAAGCTGTCTTGGCCAGCAGTCGCATTGACACTGTGCTCGCAGTTACAAAACAACTCCTCGTCCTTCAGCTGAATTGAGCATTTCCCTGTTAGTTTGGCTCAGGTTTTTAAAAAGCTGGCTTACAAAAGCACCGTTCAGTTGTTGTACCTGCCTGACCTGCACCTCGCCCCTTCTAGTGATGATAAGGCAAATGCCCCAAAAGACACCAACCATGCAGGACCATGATTACAAAAAGCAATGCCTTAAACAAGGAAAAGCACAAGATATTTCTTTGTCTCTTTAGTATAGACTTTTTCCTGGTTACATCTGTGTCGGAAGGCTCCCTGGGGAATGCTTGTCTGGAAATTAAATCAGTTTGCCCACCAGTTTTGAGCCTGGCCAGACAGAAGGGCCGTGTTCAGAGGAACACCTTAGCACTGCCATCCTGATACGAGCAGATGTTTCCCCCAGCGATGCCACCTAAAGGCCACACATTCACCGTGCAGTTCCTGACAGGGGTCTCTCCCTCTTTCCCCTCCAGGCTTCGGCAGACGGCCCCACGTGGTGCTGGTGGCTCATCTCCATGCTGCCCCTGGACCCATCCTACCAGCTGAACCTCTTCTCCAGCACCTCCCTGCGCGTCCGCCTCACCCAGCTCCAGCGCATCCTTGCTGCTCTCCTGCAGCAGCCCCCCGCTGCGCACCCACTGCCCGAGCGCAGCCCCCAGGGCTGCGTCTGAGCCCTCCGACCCCTGCCCTCTCTGCAGGGGAAACCTCCACGCCCTTGGGTTTCTCTGTGTGTTGCTTCATAAGTTTGCGTATGGTTTGAGTTTCCCCCAAAAGCGACCTCAGTGAGGAGCTGGGCACCTTCTGCCCAGCTTGGCAGGGCCAGTGCTGCACCGGCAGTGACACTACGCCGTCCATGTCACCTCTGGGAGCTGCTCGGTGACACAGCTGTGCCATGCTGCTGGAGGGGGGACAAGAATGGAAAGCTGGGTTGTGTGTCAAGAGGCAGCATCACTTGCTGAGCTGCTTCAGCACTAAGGAGGACTCTCCCTAGGGCACGGGACCAAGTGCCAGGATCACCTCTTCCTCTTTGAAGGACAATGTAGGGGTTTTGGTAGGTGGTCCTGCTCTGTGCAGCAGGTTTTCAGGCTTGGGAGAGGTGGCATTGGGAGGCAGAGAGGTCCCAATGGCTTTCCCCAGCCATGAGATCTGGCAGGTCTGCCTCTGCTTATGAGTTTGGCTTCATTTCTATTAAAACAAGAAGAAAGGTTAAATGAAACAATCTGAAACCTACAGTGCTGCTCATAACCATCTCCATGGCCACACGGTGAGGAGATGCTGCTCTCCAAATGTGCCTGGTTCCTGCTGGGTGCTCTGCTGTGTCCACTGTGCTGAGCTTGGGCCAGAGCTGTGCTGGAGCATGCTGGCCGCTTCCTGACTGCTGGCTCTGGTGCTGTGAGGTGCTGTGGGGGGGGGGGGATTTGGCAGCATGGGTGCTGTTCCCCCAACTCAGAGGTTGCTGTTCCTGACCCTGCCTGAGCTTAGGTTGTGGGGTCAGATCTGGGGGCTGGAAGAGACTGATGGCGCAAGGGTCTTAATCCTGGATGTGGCTTTGTGAGGCTTCCTGCTCCTTGACCAGTACAGTTTTCCCATGTTCAATGTTTCTTACAAACTTTCTGCCTCTTCAGGAGAAAAGCAGGATCTGAGCTGAGGGCAGATCCTTGTACTTGGTACCCAGAACAGCTCAGAATCCTCTGAAAAAGCAGAGAGTGATGTCAAGGAGCCAAATCTCTGGAGAGCCAGGGAGGGGGCAGGACCAGTGGCTGAGGCTGTGAGCCCTGTGTCAGGGGAGCAAGTGCCTGTCTGCAAGTGCCTGTCTGCTGCTTGTCTCTAAGCACAGGAAAAGACTCCTGCAGGATGGACCAGGCTTTCCTCCATGGAAATACAGAAGGTTTAGGCTTTTATCTCACATCCATAATGTCAGTGGCTTTGGGTTGTATTTTAGGAGTGATAGCCACTTAGTGAGTCATTGGATTAACGTTGCTTCTAGAACTTTATCCCGCTTTTTCCAAAGGCTCCACACCCCATCTGGGGGCTCAGTGGGCTCTTGGATGTGTGTGGGGGAGAGAAAATCAGGTTGGAGCTGTAGTGCTCCTTCCTGCACATGCTGCATCTCAGCATCCTGCATGTGCTGGTCCTGGTCCTGCCTCCTCGGCCAGGAGGCTCCAGACACAGCTCCAGACACAGCTCCAGAGAGGTCCCTGCCCAGGGCCACACTGCCTTTTCCCATCCTCTCTCCAGGAGCAAGAGGTCCTGCTCCCTCCTCTCCAGCCAAGTGCCTCCCTGGAGTGACAGCGTGAGCTGAGGGCTTGCTCCCCAGGGACTGTAATGAGCACAGGGTGGCTGAGGACAAGTCAAAGTTGGATTTGGTCCTCTACTTTTGAGCCATGTCCTCCCCAAATTTGCTGCTTTCTCTGGGTCACCGTAGCTACCACAAGGGGCTATATCCCTGGGATTTTGGATCGGGGTGAGCAGGGGTAGGTGATGGAGGGACACCTTGCAGTCCTGGTGTGAGTGTCTGCAGGTGGCAGAGATGACACTGAAGTTTGGGAAGTGCCTTTCTTTTCCGCAGGGTCAATGTGACCTCACCCAGTGACCCTCCAAGTTGCCTTTCCTCCAGGTGTGAGAGCTCCCCAGGCTGCGGGGTCCGTCCAGCAAGAGGGAGATGTGGGGGACGCAGGGGAGAAGTGTGGGTCTGTGTCATGTCCACACTGTGGGAGAACCAGGGGCCAGAGCCACATCTGCCTGACTGCTTCGGGAAGTGACTCATGCTCAGGTTTCCTTTGAGTGTCTTTGGGGTTTGTGTTGGTATCTTCACTCTTTGAATTAAGTTTTCTTCTTGGTCATTGAAATAAAGACCATTTTTTTGTTGTTTTGTTGCTGGTGTTTAACTTTCATCTTGAGGGAGCTTTGGGGACACATGGAGAGGTGACACCCTGGCCTTCAAACAGCAAGTTAGATGGACACAGTGAACACAGGCCAGCAAAGGTAAAAAAACTTTGAAAATGAGCAAAAAAGAGGGTGGTTTTGGTTCAGTGTGTGCAGGCAAGGCAGGAGGGACTGGCTGCTGCAGCTAAAGGGGAAGTATGGGAACTGGGGAAACTGGTCTGGTAAAGATGCTGACCAGTATGGGATGACCCTGTAGGGTGTCCATCCCATGAATGCTGTGCAGAGCATCTGTCCCTGTCGCCTTGGCAGCTGTGGGCAGAGGGCTGTGAGCAGGTTTGTGTTTGGCAGTTGGCATTAGGGATGAGTGACAACCCAGGGAAACACACACAGGCTCTAAAATGAGAGGGTGGCCCTGCACGGAGAGGGGACAGTCTCAACCTTGACCATGGGGGTGTCCTGCTGGGACAATTCTCGCCTGTCTCCTGCCTCATCTCCTCCCTCAACGTCCCAAATGTGCCATCCAAAACTGAGGCGATGGGGGTGGGAGGGCTTCCTTTGGCCAGCTCTGCTTTGCACCATGTCCAGGAGCCCAGACCAACTGTAGGAGAGAGGGCTGAAGTGGTCTGAGGGGGTGGATAACCCTGAAAAGGTCCCATGCCTCAGAGCAAGTTCTCTGCCAGGCCATCAATAACTGGCTCCGTGAGGAATTGTACCTTGAATTTCACCCCCAGCAACTCTGTACGGAACGAGCCGTGCCCTGGTGAAGCCCGGCTGTGTGCCGTGCCCGATGCCAGCCCCTTTGGTGGCTTCGGCAGCCCAGGCCTTGTGCCCGGCTGGACAGCAAGAGCGTGTCCGTGTGTCCAGGAGCTGCCACCGGCTCCCTTTGCCGTGCTGCCTGCTCCCACTAGATGTCAGGAGCAGTCTGAGTGCGGGCAAGGAGGAAGGCACGGCGCAGGGAATGTGCAGCATCCGCCGCTGCCACAGCCTTGGCTGTGCTTTTCTCACCCCCAGCCCCAAAAACAACCCCACTTTCAGCCCTGGCCCCGCACAGGGAGTAGGGCTGGACTGCCCCGAGCTCTCCATCAGCAGAGAAGTGAAGCTGGGGACTGGTGCCCTGAGTCACTTGAGGTCACCTCCTCTTTCTCAGTTGCACAGGGTCTGTTCGGGGAGATCCTTTCTCCACTCTGGCCAGCAAGGTCTTGTTGACTGGAGTGGAGCATCCCTCTTGGGGCTGGAACAGGGGACTGGGGAAGTTGAAGGGTGTCCTCCTCTGCATCCTCCTCCAGCCACCCTGCTGGTCATGGCCTCAGCTCAGAGGTAGGAGATGAGGCAACTCATCTTGAAGAGGCAATCCCAGCACACAGCTGAGACATAACGATGTCCCATGATCCCTTGCAAAAGCAGACTCAGTGTCTCACAGCCCCGCTTGGATGATGGGTTGCTTCACTGAGCAGTTGGGATCTGGATGGAGGCAGTTGGGAGGAACATAGCCACATCCATGCTGTCACTCTCCCAACCCTGTCCCAAATGTCTACCTGGATGAGGGAACTCCAGCATCCCCACCATCAGCTGGGACTGTGCTGGGACCCTGGGATGTTGGTCTCATCACTGGCTTCCACCAAACCATCCCCTCCTGAGATGCTCTTCCCTTCAAGAGCCATTTTGGGCATCTTTTAGACCCATGCTGCTATGGTCTAACTATGTCTGTGGGGGCACAGAGCATTTGGGGAGGCCGGGGCCTGCTCCTTCCCCATCTCCAAGGGTTCCTGCTTCACCTTGTCCTCCACAATGAGCCTGCAGATCTTGTCCTGCTTGGTATGGCTTGGGCTGGCAGCTGCAGGCCCCTCCAGCCTCTCTGCCCAGGCTCCATGGCAAAACATGAAACAGCTTCACCCCTAAATCAGCCGTCAGAGCTGTGGGGAGAAGAGTCCATCTCTGTGTAGGCTCCTTGGAGGCACTTGGGGCCCAAGGGGAGACGAAGCTGCCCGATCCCGCAGCACAGGATCTCTGCTTCCCCCTGTGCCACCACGCTTTGCTTTCTGCTTCTTGGCTTTGTTTCCTCCCTATATTTTTCCATGTCCACGTGTGCTCCTCCCCACGCATCCCAACAATACCTAATAATGATTTCTGGCCTTTATATAATGCTCATCATCCCAGCTTTTCAAATAGACATCTGTATCCTTCACTGGATTTTTACAGTCAGGAGCCAGAGGTGGGAAGAAGCAATGTGTTGCCCAAGGTCACCCGACAAGGTCCCTGCTAGTCAGGGGACCCCTCTCCAAATGGGTCTCTCTTCACACCCCATCCAGCCCCCACTTCTGTGGATATCACATCTGGGATACCATATCCTGCACCTGTTTTCTACATCCCTGGGGAAATGTAAACCAGCACTAGCACTGGCCTTGCTCCCATCACCCCAGAATGCATCCTCCAGCTTCCCTGACCTCCTCTTCAACAGCACCATTTCTTCCCTTCCCATTCGGCACCTTCAATATGAGATATCGGTGACAATTTCCCTCACACAATAGTATGGGCAAGCAATTAGCTAAAGAGGCAAGTAATTAATACAGCAGGTGTCAGGCTGCGCCTCGTCTTTCCTTAACAAATGGTGCATTTCCAAATTAATTAGACCAGCCAATACCTGAGATAGCAGAAAATCAACAAGACAGCATTTGAGCTAAGATTTTCTTTCCTAGCAAGACCATGCTGGCACTGGAAGAGGAGCACAGTACATGTTAAGGTTAATGAAGGTGGGAAGAAAAGGGAGAAAAACAGCACTTAATTT